GGCTGGAAATGCTGTTTTCTCCTGTCATTCTGCCCTTTCACATGCAGTCCCATAGAGGTGGGTTTATATGCAGCTCAGTGATCAGCTCTGATGTAATTTTCAAGGAAGTTCTGGCCCTTCTGGATGCCCCAGAAAAAGCTGAGGCTAAAACATTCGCAGGAGAAAGAAGACCTCTCTCACAGTTTAGTATCATCTCTGCCCATCTCGGGCTGTGCTGGCAGTGATGTCCCAGATGGGAGCTGCACCTGAGGATTTGCAGCACTGCATCACCCCCACCTTCTCATCTTTAGGCAGAGGCAACCATTTCAGCTAAGCCAAATGTCTTGGGGTGACTTTGTGGTCTGGTATCCCCTATTTTTCCCAAATTTGTTTCTTCCCAAATTTGTCTCAAACTGGGACACCCAGAAATCCAGCCAGCCCAGCAGCCTGTCTCCAAAAGTGGTCAATAGTAGATGTGCAGGAGAAAGTAGGAAGGTGAAGTAAGGAGACTGTGATGCTTCTCCAGAATGTTTCCAACCCTCCACTGGACTGTAGTTCACCCAGAGGGAAATCTTTTGTGTTTAGTAGCTACAGATGGATTTTATTCCATGAATACATTGCATCATTTAGTAAACCTGTGCAACCAGTCCCAGTGTGTCATGGTAAGGAGATGCAGAACTGCTCACTGACCATCACGGAGCTGCTCTGGGTGACAGGAGCTGATTCACTCTCTGCTCATTGGGTTTCTACATCACTTTGGGACATGTCTGTCCTGCAGCAGGAGGTTTCACTGCAGATACAGAGAAATATGAATTTGTATGAATATAAACACCGATATATGTAATTATGACCTCCATTTGTGTGCATGCTGCCATTACTTCATTATATTTGGCACTTACAAATATTTTCTCTCTGTGATACAGTTTTACTGATCTTCAAACAACATCAGCCTTTGCTTTTCATGAGCAGTGTAAGATTTGAGTGCATCCTGATGGAAAGCCAACATCATTCATCATGTCTGACTCGTGCTAGCATGACTGATGAGGCTTTGGAGATATTTTAAAATAGTTAAAGAGTTGCTGGTTTATTAGCTAAGACTGTACAGAAAAACACCTCCTTAAGAAGACTTGGTCCCCCTTTATGTGTTTTTACCCAGTGCTATTTCCCACCAAGAATTTATTATTTTATTGCCTGCCTAAACTTTCTTCCAAAGGATCCATCAAGCTCTTATGTTGGCTAGGATATTTATTAGCTCAGTTTCTGTCCCCATCTGAAGGAGGATAAATTTTTTCTCTACATAAATACACATGTGGATTCTGAGATGTTGTTTAAACAGAGTGTTTCTGACTTCAAACACTTTTTCATTACATCTGCAAGCTCCTGGGTGGTTCCATAAAGCCCTTAAGAATTTTTCTACCTGAAAGGTCCAGGCATGAGCTCCTGTCTGGCAAATTGGCAGGTCAGTCCATGGTGTAAGGCTGCAGAGAACATCTGTCCCCCCAAATCTGTTTGGCAAGGTTATCAGAATATAGAAGATAGAGCAGTGCATAGAAATATCCTTACCTGTTATACAGCTGCATACCATATGATTGCCCCTAAATATATTTATGTGACTATGCATGAATAAATATGTATATTTTATGTGCAGGCACACATACATAGTATTTAGAATTATAGCAGTGTATGTATTTCAGAAAAAATTATGCCTGCCACCAACACCTTTCACATGCCCTCTTGCTGTCTATGCTCCTTTCAGTTGCAAAAAATCTGAATTTTTATGATCTTAGTGGTCTTTTCCAACCCAATGATTCCATAATTCTGTAGATGTGGTATTTAGTGGCATGTTTTAGTGTGGATTTAGCATTGCTGGGTTAAGGGTTGGACTTGATCTTAGAGGTCTTTTCCAACCCAAAGGATTTTATGATTCTGTGTGATGTGTAAAATGTATGCAAGTAGTTCCCTTGACTCTAATTTACAGAATTCCTTCTTCCAGTGATGCTTCAGGCACTGTGAGCAGGGGCAGGAGGGTTTCCCAGAGCTTTGCCTCCATTCAGGAGGTGTCAGGACCCAGGAAAGGGCAGATTTGGGAGGGAATGTACTAAGGCCTCAATAAATCTCCAGAGAATCTTTGGAAATTATGCAGGCTGCATCAGCACCTTTGCATTCCCAGCTCAGCCCCAGCAGCACTTTCCCTGGAGCTCTGAACATCCCCTGCAAGTGAAAAATACTCGTGTGTGTCCCTGGGTAGCTGTGCCAGACCTAGCCAGTTAAATTTTCTGTTTTGCAACCCTGAAAATTTTGTTTTTATTTGGTTCCAATGTGTAAAATTACCCTCAGAATCATGGAATGGGTTGAGACATCTTCCACTAGACCAAGTTGCTCAAAGCCCCATCCAGCCTGGCCCTGAGCATTTCAGGGATGGGGCCCCCAGAGCTGCTCTGAGCACCCTGATCAGTGCCTCCCACCCGCCGAGTAAAGAATTTTTTCCTAACTTCTGATATTGTCCTGAGTGAATAATTACCTCCCTCTGCACAGTGAACTACAGTTAATAGGGATAAAGTATAGTACATTAATCTCTGTATTTATGAAGAAGGAGGCGTTGTTTTGGAGAATCTGGTAGGTTTTGTTTTCATTCTGTACATTCCTTAGCACATTTATAACCAGCAGACAAGCTCAGAAGTGTGTGTGGAAAATGTCAAATTCAAGATCCCTTAAAGGTTTCCAAGATTTTGTACTTTCTGAAGAGAATAAACCACAATGTAAGAGGAGTTTAGAGTTTCACCCTTCAAATCCAGTGAGTGATGGCTCAGGGAAGAGTGAATGAATTCAGTTAATTTTGTCCCAGCCAGTGCAGTCCCACATCCCTGCCACACTGAAGGACAACAAGATCTTCTCAAGCTTATGAATATTATTTCATTTATCCATGGTCTATATACAGATTACAGGCTCTGTAACACACTGCTGTCCTGAGTTTCGGGCTGAGCATCCACTGCTTTCAACCTCTTGGTTAAATTAACCACATATTAGCCTAAATTTTAAACGAGAACAAGTGGTTTGCTCATATTTCAGTGGTAAAACCACTGTCTTTTAACTGCACTCTGCTCTGAAAGTAGGATTCAGCTCTGCCCTGTGTCCACCTCAGAGAACAAATCCATTAAGCAATTTTCTGCATTTCAGAGATGTTTGCTATAAATTATGTAACTATGTTGAGCATGTCTGTAAACTGGGGTCTGAACTCTAAGTAGAGACAAGGACAATTAACTGCAAAAGGTAATTTCAAAACAGTACATTGGATAAATTATAATGTTACTAGAAAATGCTCTGTATTAAGGGAAACATTTTAAAGCACCTTGTTTTATAAATTATACCAGCTGTGTTATGTATTGTAGTTAAATTTAATTACATAAAAATATGTAGAATCAAAAGCAGCTCAATGAGATGCAGTTATAACCTTTCTAAGGGATGATTCTGTTATAGAGATATTTTTTAGAAAATAAAAACAGAGAAGGGAAGATAAGGACTTGCACATTTTATTTCACCCTGCCGGAGAAATATTAGATATGTTTTACTGGATACAATACCAAAAGCAGAAATGGAAATAGAGAAATAGAGCCTCTGACCCCTAAAAGTAATAAGGTTGGATAGATTACCCCTCTGTGTTTCCACAGTAGAGTGGAGCAAAATGTTAAAAGCTCTTACAAGAGGAAATACTAAAATTCATGACCTTTTTTATGCCAGAACTGTAACATCCCTAACCTTCACCAAGGGGCTGCTCAAGGTGCTGAAATCAATAGCCACTGGCTGGCTGATTTGAGTTCCCTTTTAATAACTGCTGAAATACAGAGCTGGGGTATCTCTGGGGGTCCGAAACAAAAAATACCCTTTGTACCACAGTTTCTGCTTCAGGATTTGAGGTGTCAGCCACAAACCACACACCAAGGTCCTGGCCAAACCCAGGCAGCAAGGGGCAACTTTGGAACGTTTCAGTGTGTTTTCTATTGCCTCGTCTCAGAACAACCAGAAGGTCCAAACCTGAAAACATATCTCCAATCTGCACCCATGCTGGGGTTTTGTTTGGGTCAGAAGTGGGATTTTGAATCTGGTGTCCTGGAATCTTCTCCTGCTTGGGTGTCTAGCACAGGTTTAGGGGGTGTGGGTTCCTTGCAGAGGAAAGAAAACTGGGCTAAGTCAGAGCACTCCCAATCCCTGGAGCTCCTCTGTCTGTGGCACTGGAGTACAGCTAGTCCAGTCCTCAATCAGCTGTTCTGCTACACTGCAGCAGTAGCCTTCAGGTGTAATTTTCCCTGTGGTTGAGGGTATTTATATGTGTAGGTGTCTTAGGTGTCAAACCCTCTCTTACTCAGCAAACATTGAAATACAGACTTAAGTCTAAGCCTCTACTTGAATGGACGAATTTGGTTTAGAATTTGTGTTTAGAACTATACATTTGGATGTATTTAAGAATTAGAGGTGGTAAAGTAAAAATTAGAAGTCTCAGTGAGGCTTTTGGTGGTTTTTCCAGAAGGAGTGCTGTCACTTACACTGAATTAAAAATGTTAAATAGTCCTTTAAAATGTGGTCCTTGTGCCCTGGAAGTTGGCTCCTGCCCCTCACTGTAGAGCCACAAGGATGAAAGAACCTAGATGTCAGAAGGTTTTTGTAAGACCAGGACACCTAAATCACCTGGGAACAGACACCTGAAGTATCCAATCACCTGAACATTAGTTAAGTGCTCATTATATTCAGTAGCCTTTGAAAAATCCATTGCTTGAATCCACAGCTACAAGGTCTTATGCTTTGTGACACTTCACAGAACAATCTATAAATACCTTCAAAACCTGGGGCTACTGCTAAAGATGCTCAAGTACCTCAGCTAATTTTGAAACTTTTACCCTTGTTAGTTTTCATGGTTGGGAGCTTGCGTTGGGATAATTGGGAGCATAAGACAGGTTGTGAAAAAATCATGTGAGAAACTCTGCCTGAGCATTACCTTTTAACAAATCTGCCCTGCTGTTTTTCAGGTAAAGGTGATGTGTTTGGTGATATCTTCTGGAAGGAAACCAGCCTGGCCCATGCCTGTGCCAACGTTCGGGCTCTGACCTACTGCGATTTGCATATAATTAAGCGAGAAGCCTTGCTGAAAGTGCTGGACTTTTACACTGCTTTTGCCAACTCCTTCTCCAGGAACCTCACGCTCACCTGCAATCTGAGGAAGAGGGTAAGCTCTTTGTTTCCCCCTTCCTCTCACCAGGAGACAGCACAGTTCTGCAGGTGCTTGCAGTGTTTAACAACCTCCCATTTCCTACTGATGTTTTCAGGTCATCACAGATTGAGTGGCCTTTCGATAAATGCTGTTGTCACTGTTGGTAATGATGGCTCAATAAAAGTTACCTGTAGATTTGCAGCTCTGGAGAGCAGTCCTAGCAGGATGACATATGGATTGCATTTTTTTTCCTTTTCTTCATAGCTGCTGGTTTTCATTTTGTTGTTTTTTTTCCATCCCGTCACCTAAATGTATAAAGTTTTATTTTATAGAATCCAGATTCTGGATTTCTCAAAGTTGAAGTCTCTAAGATACAGTTCAGAAGGCAATCTGATAGATCTCCATGCTATAGACCAACTAAGAGAAATTTATTGATGTTAAATAAATAAAATACACTCATCAAAGGTACTGTATTAATACCTGCTTCTTGCAGTTGCATAGTCTAGAATTTTAATATGGTGAAGTTAATAAAGCTGGATAGATTTTACATTCACAGCTCACTTCTTAAACCCTCCTGCTCATTTTATAATCAATCAGCAATGCTCACTATCCATTAGTTCTTTCAAAGAACACTCCATCTAAAAATTAATTAGCTATGAAGACATATCTTGAAAACAGGTTAAGGGATCCTTTAATTCACATTGAGACTGCAAAATTTCATCTTTATGATTTTTTTTTACGATTGATGAGGGTTATATAAATTTCATTTGCATAGAGAAATCCCATAACAATGATTTATAGATTGCTGAGTATTAGCTGTGATCCTCTAGCTGCTGAAACACGTTTTTCTGCAGCTGTACCTTGGGTATCTCACCTGATAATGTACCAAGGCTACCTTGGTATTTCACAAGGCAATTTCAGTTGATGCAGTAAAAGGAGTTCAACAAAACCACAGTTTTATTTTCTTAAGTCTAGCTTCTCTCTAGCCACTGGAGCTGCTCTCAGAGGTTTCAATTTCTGTGCATTGCTTGTGCTCATTAATACCCCAAGTATGGCACAAAATACCCATGGCAAGAAGCAGATGCAATGGGATTGCAGAGCCCCTCTGTCTGTGCTGGAGCCTGAAAGAACTGAGTTATAATCAGGTTTGGTTCCAGCTTGTCAGCTTACCTCTGGCTCGAGGTTGTTAGCTCCACTTCAGACCTGAAGGAAGGCTTTGGGGCTTGGGAGCTGGCTCGTGGTTTCTAGCTTATCACTTCTCTGTTGATAGGAAGTGCTCCAAGCCTTGACTTCAGCATCCCCCCCCTTGCCATCTCACCAGCTACAGCCCTGCAATGACAACTCTGCTCAGACTTTGCTGATGGTGATTTCATGGGACAAGATAATACCACATATATTGCCCCAAAATGTATTCTTTCCTTCTTAAAACTGTGAATCTGTCACTTCAGCTGCCTTCCTGAGAAATGCATGGACATGTCTATTCCTGACAGGGCAGTGTGCTGGAGTTCAGCTCTGCAGTCCAGGGGTGTGTATGGGGAGTAGCCCCCTGGCTGAGCTGTCACAGAATTTCTTCTCTCACACACACCTTGGTTAAGGAAAATTGGTTTCCCTGCAGGCCCTGGCATGGTGAATCACCCAGGTGGAAAAGCTCAGGGAACTCAAGTTGCCAGTAGAGATACCTGCTGTTTAGCTCAGTGTCAGCTACATGGACTTTGACATGGGGGCAGTGACTCCCAGTGAGAAGGAGCAGCATTCCTAAAGAAACGTTAGATTTTGCAGAAGGAAAGGAAATACTGTTTGGGGGAATGTGTGGGCAGTACTGAGAGTGGAGAAAGAGTCAAAGAAGGGTCATGTTAATGTGGAGCATGCAGAGTGAAGTTCATTTCACTAAGAACTGGGTGATGGTGTCCAGGGTAGTCACCAATCACCTTCATAGCCCATGAAGCATAGTTCCTCTGGGAGGAAATCACCTGGCACCTCTTCAGTGCCCAGTCTGGGATGGGAAAACCATCCCCTTTTTATGGGAACTCAAAATGTCCCTCAGACATTTTTGGAGGTTCCAGGCCCTGATCAGAAGCATTTGAGACCCTGGCAGGCAGCTGGAAACAGCTGTGATTTTGCGTTTGAGCCATGGAATGAGTTACCAACCTTGCAGGAAGAACAAGAGTCACAAAAGTTTAGATATTATAGTAGAAGTAATTACAAAGTAGAGGGAAGAATTTTTTAGTGCTGTACACGGGGGTTTTAACACCTGTACAGGGGGGTTTTAGTTTTGTACATGGGGGTCAGAAGTTTTAAGATGGAGGGGTTTTGGCCGGTCCTGTCCTTCCTCTTTCTTCTTCCTTACCTCCATGTTCTTGGTGATGTTGGCACTCACAGATTGGTTTAGAGTAGAAAGGCACCATTTAATATAGGTAATAGGCATTGGGGAAAAACTGTAAACATGTAACACGTAATGTACCATATAAAAGACAGAAAATCACCATTTAATATAGGTAATAGGCATTGGGGAAAAACTGTAAACATGTAACACGTAATGTACCATATAAAAGAGAGCAGCAGCCCTAGGCAGGGAGAGAAGAAGCAGTTGGAGTCAGAGAGGATGTCAGGGTGTGTGTGTGCCTCTGCCTGAGCTGTGAGCAAACCACAGCAGCCCCAGAAGAAAATCATTTAGATAACTTGCAATAAACTGCCTTGAGACCAGACAACAGAGACTGCTGAGCTTTTCTTTGGAAGCACGGGTTGGAGGAGCAGTTTTTCCACCACACGGAGCCACCCCCAACCCAAGGTGGTCTTCGACACCTTTTGATTTCACAGTGTCCATGATCATGAACTTTTAAATACCTCATGTACATCAGCTGAACTCCACCCCTCTCCTGCAGCTTCAGTCAATAACTGCTTTGGAAGCAGCCTGGCATTGCAGTCAGATGCGCTGAGCCAGAGATTCCTTTGCAGAAATTCTGTGCTTTGTTCCTGGGCACAAAATAGATCATGCTACATTCAACACCAGGGACACAATCCAAGTCCTGTTACATAAAGATATTCAGGGGATTGTTTCAAACCTCCTATCTGCTGGAAGGATACGTGATTCCCTGTTGGGAATCACAGAAGCGTTTGGCGGTGCGTTCACCCCTGAGGAAAATCGGTGAGGTCCAGGATGGTTCCACCAGGTGAACAGAAAGCAAATTGTTCAGGCAGTGAGGCTGGGCTGACAGCTGCACTGTGCTGCAGCACTTATGCTGGAGTCATGTAACCTAAATGGAAAGAAAATCATTGTCTCCTTTAATTGATTTCTATAGAAATATATACTTAGCACTTTTTCTACATAGTCATCACTCATAAGGTTTGACATTTAATTATAACTTAAATAAACTCCTTGGGGGTTTGTGCCTGAGAAAATGGCTGTTATCACTGTCAAAAATACATAGGCCGAAATGTTCCTGCACCAGATCTGCTCTTTGAAACACACATCCATGGATTTGGGTGCACACACCATATATTTGTGCTGCCCTGTCCCTCAGCCAGCACTTTGATGCAGTCCACAGACTGCAAAACATTTAGACGTTCAAAAGGCTAATAAATTAATAACAGCACTGAGCACAAAAGGTTATTTCCACATGACAGGCAAGCGAAAGTCTTGTTGAAGTGGGAAAATAATGTTTTCTCACTCCCAAATAGTATTTAGAGCCTGGCATGTTGAATGACCTCCTTAAGGCATCTGCTCAGCAAAAGTATTGCAGCATATCATGTTTCGTGCTCTGATATCTTTACAGCATGTCTGACATCACTAATGCACACTCCAAGGCAGTACCAGGACTTTGAACCTTTTTTATTTTTTTTTTCAATCAAGGAAAATAATTATTCTGAAAAGATAGTCTTTAAAATCACAATGAGATTACATAGCTACCTCTGAGAATTGAGTAATAAAGCAGGGTTTGGGATAAGTCTTCAAAGAGTTAATTACTGCCTTCTGATGCTGAAAGAGAATATTAATAATATCTAATTCATTAAGTGCCTCTCAAGATTTCACACAGCTGGAGGGGAGCCTCTCTGCAAGCTTGAGCCATGGAGCTTGGCCTGAGGAAGGGAGTCATGACTGATTTTTAGGAGGCTCTGTGGCATCCAGTTGTCAAGTGGGGACCCAAGGTGGAAATCTTAGGTCAAAAGGAACAACAGAAGTCAGGGGTCTGCAAATGGTTGCAAATTTTCATTAGTAAATTACACACTTGGCATGGGAATTTTTATGAGTTAATCCCTGCTCTCCTTGTGTAAGCGCACAGCAGTGGGTTTTGGAGAACGGAGTGGGGTGAAAGGGAGCAGAGAAAGAGAGAGATCAATGAAAGCAAGCAAACAAGCAAAAGAAGGGTGAGGAAGAGAGATCACCAGTCCTGGGTCCAGTTGCTCCAGCTGTGGTTGTGGGATGCACACATGCCCAGGCTTTGTGGGAGCACAAAGTTTATAGATAGGTTTTCCCATCCTGGAGATAAATTTCTCATTTTCTATGCAAATTAGTTATTATGCACAGTCAGTTCTTCCACACCTTCCTGGCATTGGGTTGGAAGACTTTGAGGGTCTTGGGTGGTCTTGATCCCCTGCTACTGTCCATGCCCACATCTCGACCTCATTCCTGCACTTGTGCTGTGCTGTGTTTTGTTTATTTCCAGGAGCCAGAACAAGAATGTCTGTCCTGGAAAAGTGCTGCCCTACCTACCTCCATATGGCCCCTGCTCCAGCCACATTCTGGGTTTTTTTTTTCTCCTTTTCTCATCATTGCTTCCATTTGCTAACGTGCCACCTCTGCTGAGCCGCGAGCCCAGCACGGCCTGTGCCAGCGCGGGGAAAAATCCAGATGAAACCTTGGCCCTCCTGGAATCACAGCTCAAATTCTTCTGTGCTTCTGGACAGCCAGAAGATTTCAGCCACAGCTTTTAAGGCACACAGTCACATCCTGCTGCTTTCTGCCATGGCCAGAACGAGCTGTGTTCAAGGAGTGAGTCAGGAGCAGCCGGGGAGGA